TAGAATAGAATTACGTGACCTTCTAGTCAAATCACAACTACCTGTTAACACATCTAACACAAACTAATTTTCCACCAGGTTCTTTCCGCTGTGGACAAGATTGTGCTACTTTTCCTTACAACACTAATGGTCCTAATGGTCTTCAACACTACACTATTTATGGTCGGGATTGAATGCATACTCCAAAATCAGATCAGACTTTTCCCTTATAACCCACAAAAGAAAGATTATCATTTTCAGGCCAACCGGGGCCGGTGCTGAGTGGGATAACTGGGGTGCTATAGTAGACTAACCGGGTGATATAGACATATATAGTACGCTGATTCTGATTTTGGTCTATCCAATTGAGTCATAACCCACTTTTTATTCCACTAGGGCGAAATCTGATCTATCGCCTCTCACGTAACCAGCGTTTGTATGGCTGTGTGGCAACTCTTGCAAAGCACAGACATACGAACGTCTGTAAATGTTACAACTTTTGAAATGCATCGTTTGAAGTATATTTTTTTAAAGCCGTTTCCTTTCAACTAACTAAACTTTGCATGCTCTTTCTAGTTTTGATATCAGCTTCGATCGAGTGAATTGCAAAATACGAGATGTAATTTATTATTGTAATTAATTTCATACACGGCTCGATGGAAGAGCATGTATTGTGAATTGATACCGTGTTTAAATAAAGTTTACTACACTACTCCAATGACGTCATCAAAGATGGCGCCCTATTGATATGAGAAGAGCTGTAATAATAGCCTATGAATAGGCTCCGCGGTGGGATGGGGTAAAAAGAAAACTGCAAGCGAAGGGGCGATGTCCCTCCCTCTCTCCCCAGGCTTCGCCCAAATCGCCGCCATATATTTTTACCCCATCCCACCGAGGAGCCTATTCATAGGCTAAAGTAATGAGACCATGCATGATCATGATAACTTTAGTTTTCTAAACGTCTAAAAAAACATTGACGAAAACGTGAAAGGAATTATGTGTCTTCCATGTCTTGTAGAAATCATATTTTCTCTTCAGATACCTGTTGAGAAAACAAAAACAAAAAAAAAACAATAGAAATCGAGATGTTGTCATGTTCCGTATGAAAATCCCACGTGTTAGGCCGGTTAAATTTGAAGGCCTATTGATATGACATATCGAAGAGAATATCCATTATTGTCCCCAGAGCCGTCGTTAGTTTGGTCACGTGGTCGGCGAGGGTCTCTGAGGTCCAGAATGATAAACTAAACAGGGCCCAGTTGTTCAAAAGCATGGCGATCACGCTATCCACTGGATAAATCACTATCCAACGGATAGCGTTGTTTTGTTTTGTTAACATTTATCCAATGGATAGTGATTTATCCGGGGGATAGCGTTATCCACCTTTTGAACAACTGGGCCCAGGAGCCATGAACGGTCCTAACTGAATTATTTGTCAAAACAAAACAAAATGATGAAAAACCCGCTACGTTACCATGACAACCATACAGCTCCACCCTCATCGATATGTGGTAATGCCAAATTATTGGTCGAAAACGAAGATAACGTGCTGTGATTGGTGGGCTTAGATCATGTGATACGACAGTGTTCTGGTCTGTGTTTCCAGCAAAAACCTAAATCAGTATAAGATGGTAAATGGTAAACACTACCTACAATACTATTACTTAGACTACTTAGAATACAATTACTTGCACTACTTAATTACAATACGTACGTTTACTTAAACTACTTACAATACGTTTACTTGCACTACTTACAATACGACTTACTTAGACTACATGTACTTACACAACTATAAACTAGTCGACAAGATGGCTTACGCTTTTTAACCCGTGAATGCGAAAGCAACTTGTTATAGCATTTGGTGGACAAATGTTTACTCGATCGGTCGGTCGATGGGCTGTAAACTCTAATTTCGCTATTTAAAAGTTTTATATACATATAACAAGTGGGCTCATAGAAGCCTTTGATTGACCGATATATTTTGTAAGCATAACCCACTGCCCGACTATCAGGTAAACGAGCAATCTGATTTAGCATGCATCATTGCATAAATGTTTCAAACTTAATGAAATAAAAATAGTTTTTCGTTTGATAGATCGGTCAGTGGATTAATCTAAAGACGGCTCGCTCTCGGATTATATCGACTTCGATAGTCAGCTGATAGAAACTTAGAGCTTGCCGTCTAATTGTTAATTTAAAATTCTCACTTTAACAACAGCCAATCCGTCAAAACTATCGGGGAACATTTTGACGTGTCAATCATGTTCTCATTAGACGTTTCAATGGCTGTTATAGTCAGATTTGGAGTTTTCCAACCTAATGTTTTTCACCTAATCGGGTTTTTTTTTGTAGCCTTATTTTTTTTTTTCATTTTTAAATATTAAAAAAAAAATTAGTATACAAAATGACGTATCTGAGATAAGATGGCGGATTTTGTGAAATGTGTGACGTCATTTTGACGTGATACATGGCCATCCCCAGTAGCTATTAATATAAGAAAAATTGTACGGAAGATAATTTCCGAAATTGTACTTAAGATAGGTCTACAGTCAAACCAGTATTATTAACATCATCCCTCTATTTATGGTCACAGTGTCAAGGTCTCGAAAATTGTATCACTTAATAACTATTGATGATAATTTAGCGGTCACCTTTTACAAAGTCCCAACAACGTATGTACGAAAGCACTGAGCAAAGTGACTGACATCTCTAAACAAAAGTATGTAAGCTTCTGTAGGTTTTCCGCTTTTGATCTGATACATGAGCAAAGGTCAACCTGGTCAACTACCGACCTCCCCCCCCCCCCCCCCCCCCCCCCAATGGGTGTACTAATCCTAGTCTTCTTGGGTTATCCCGCAATGCTATTTGGGAGCTGAAGCGTCGAATGACGGCCGAAGGAGACTACAATAGACTAACCTTGTCTGTCTTTTGTCCTTGTTCTGTGTAGTACTGGAAGTTCACTCCATCGTTACTGTACTGCAGCTTGTACTTAGTTACCCACTGGTAGTAATTATTGCTTCCTTGTGTTGCTACACCTGTTACTTTAGTGAACTGACTAAGATCAACCTGGAGCCATTGATTGAGATCCTTAGTGGCAGCTGCCCAATGGGCTCCTGACTGTTGAGTTGCCACAATGTGTAGTCTGCCATTGAAGGGGGCAAACATGTCACTCCATTGTGAAGAAGGCAGTTTATTTGTCCGTCAGAGATTGCACCGCTTTCCATACCCAGGGCTCCTCGGACGCATTCTGAAGGTTTTATGGAATCGATACAAATATGTATAGTGTTAACAAATATTTATTATGCGAACAACTTTCTACCAATATACAAACCGGTAAAGTTTACGGAAGTACCGCGTTCCCTCATTACTTTCGGATTTAGCAGTCTTTTCTTATCGCTACTTTCGGGGCTCGCTACGAACTCCACCAGCTTGGACAACTAGGGCACTTAAGGGGTACACATGAAATGCCATGATTTAATGGAAATATCTCGTTCACGTTTCAAGAAATCCAAAACTCTATGCTCATCTCATGAATCTATGTTATGGGGTGTTTTGTAAATTTTTGGGTGATTTTGGGGTATGTTTGGGAGGAAATAGTTTTTCTCAAAGGAGTTTGTAAAATTTCCGTAAATTTTGAAATGTAGTTCTAAAATTAGAATGTGTAGTTAAAACAAACAGATACCCACGCAAGAGCACCCGCGTGGGTATCAACTGTGTGTCGGTGTTCCAAAAACCATTTTCTTTCTTCTATCCCTTCTTTAAGCCTCTTAAGATTTCGTTAAAATTCCCGTGTTCCCCCGCCTTATGCGTTACATGCTAAAAAAAGGCAGCTTAAGATTCTCGCCTAAATGGTCGTTAAAAAAGTCAGACACTCATTCGTCATGGTGAAAGACCAACGTTCAACGTGTGTAGTACAAAAATCGGTCAAATGCAGCCTGTTTCCTATGCGTGACTCTTTCTCTCTCGAGCGAGCGCAAAGCCACGTAAAGGACCTGGGAACGGGTTTTGCGTGCTTTGTCATTCGGTGAGGTCAATAAATTTCGCGCCAAATCGAGTAAGCTGGAAGGGAATGCCTGGGTACTAGGCTGGGTCAAATGTATTTATTACATACCTTCACACACTTGTCCAGTAAATCCTGCAGGACAATCGCAGATGAACCGTTTGCCATTCTCATCACAGTTTTCCCGACAGGTTCCTCCATTAAGACACGGCTGTGGACTACTACAACAACGGTTGACACACTGGGTACAAGGAGACTGGCTCTGACAAGGAAATATACACACCTTATTATACTACGAGCAGTCCCTCTGAGACCCTCATTACCTTAGTCTAGTCTACTATGTTGAGCGAGATGCAAACAAAATTACCGCGTGAAGCCTGAGAGCAAGACACGTCGGACTCGTACCCAGATTTCGCGCGCGAACATTTATTGGGCTCTTTGTCGCTCGATGACTGCACCTTATTAAACTAGATTCCTTCAACATGACGGTTTATTTCATTATTTCAGGCTGTAGTTTGCGAACCTTTCATTTTAGGTGTGCAAAATACAACTAAAGATGAGAACTAACTCCCTGATGACAACATACAAATTCTCCTTACCATCCTCTATACATTTCTTATAATACTATTTGGAAGAATTCCCCTTGGTGATCAGCACTGATTGCTGAAAGTGTTAAGAGAATATCCCTCCCTGTTCCGCCCTCTTTCCAAGGTGGTAAGCTGGTTGAATAAAATATCGTGATTGATCAGTTTCACTCCTTCTGACTGATACTCACAATACCAGGAGAATAGCACGCGGGCGCGCGTGGTCTGCATTTCCGGCAGGAAATCCGTCTGCGTTCGCAGGCTATCCCGTGTGTACTCACAGGTGGGGGGGGGGGGGGGGGGGGGGGGGGAGGGGCTACTCCCAGGGGGATACGCAGGTATATTAGTGACATGCATCTGTCACAAACTTTGGGCAGACTGCAGTCATTCAGTGGGGAGCGATATAATTGTTATAGTAAGTAACTGTATTCAGTTTATCACGAGCGTGGATTTGAACCCATGACCTTCCGTACACCGGTCGGATGCTCTAACCACTGAGGCTACGGAGTATCTCATGTAGTGAGCGGTCATATACTACAATAGGTTCATATGTGACACGCGTCCTGCATACTGCTAGCATCAGCAATGTTGAAAGCGTCATGTGTAGTAATAAATACCATCTTTACATTTATTTATACAATTGTTATAACCAAAAAAATATCCGCCAGAAAATTTCTGAACCAAAAAGTCTCCAAATCGCTAAAATCAACAACAACAACAATAACAACAACAACAACAACAACAACAACAACAACAACAACAACAACAACAACAACAAGCTTTATTAAGTCTTGGGTTAAAATACATAGATTTTCACCTCCCGCAAATTAGCAGAGCTATTCGAGGCGGGAGATGAAGAAAAACAAATTATAATAAGGGTAGCTAACAGTAGTGTTTTAGTAAGTAAATAACAATAAGAAAATTTCGGTATATAAATGGCGTAGAACAAAGAAATTAGTATAGGTAATCGCATGGGGCCGAGTAAAATTAAGGATTAATATCACGCGTGTTTTCAGAAGTTGCAGAAATTGCGCGAGTCGCGCAGCGACAAGGGCAATTTCTGCAACTTCTGAAAACACAAGTGATATTAATCCTTAATTTTACGAGGAAACATGCGATTACTTGTTTATGACATAGAGGGCAAAATTTTCGGAAAACCTTCAAAACGCCGCAAAGCTAAATTCATCCGCGGCGGAACGAACTGATATTCCTTCCAAAAATCACACAGAATCACAGGAAGATCAAGCAAACCCTTACGTTCAGAACAGGGTAACGATGACTGTTATGTAAATCTTAAGAGAAAATTGTAAGTCTTGAAAATAAAAAAATAACAAGCTTGCAATCAAGCCAAGTAAAACGTAATTTTATTCACCTGTTTGCATGTTTTGAAGCCGGCTTTCCGCTGCCAGCTGCTTGACATGTCAATCCTACATCGATAAAACCGTGAGCAAACGACGAGTCCAAACAAACTTGTAGAGGTAATTTATCCGGTTTAATTTGACCTTCTTCTTTCTTTGAACAAACTCTGTGATCTTTTATACTCTGGGTTGCACGTATTTAACAGAGGTGAAGCGAAGAAGTCAGTTGGCAGTCAATCAGCCATGAATGAATTTCGTCGCAAACTCGCCAAGTGTCTAGCTGATGCAAGTTTTCTAGTTTTCAACTGAAATAATCTTCTGTTGCTTCGAGTGAAACACTGAGATTCAGCTTTCGGAATTTCGTTTCAAGCTATCACACGGTTTCCGTTCCTTTTTCATCAAATAACTCGGGAAACTGAAGTCAAACTCCGAAGCGACGTACAAGCGAGCGCTGTATTTGAAAATTCTGCTCAAATCCCGCCGTCAAGAAGCCAACTGAGTGCAGCGCGCTCAGCCAATTAGGAGCGAGGAATTTTGCCGCTCGACCAATCAGGATCAAGTAGTTTTGCCCCGGGCAAACCAAAATTAATGAAAAATGCCCTCTGTCTCAGCCAATCAGCATTCAGTAATTTTGCCCTCTATGTTATAAAAGTAGTAATTTTGTTTCTGTATAAAATAGAGAAGAGAAAGGAAAACTAACTAACAAACTAACAAAACAAAACTAAACTAAACAAACAGAATTATGAAAGAGATTTACTGTAAGGCTATCTATGAGGGGATTGACTTTAACATAGTCGTCCTGAGCTGAGAGTATATCAAACATATGGTTGCGATTTTTTTTCGGAAAATTGACTTAGGTTTGTCTCTCAGGGTAGGTGCGATATTGTTCCAGACTAAAGTTCCAAAACAGGAAAATGAACGTTTTTTTCATTTCCAGCTTAACATCGTTCTGAAAATAGTTACCTTTTGCTGCGGATCTGTAGTATTGTATCGGTAGACATCATTAGATTTTATGAAGAAAGCTCGAAGAGGTGATGGTGCAGATCCATGGGATATGTCGTGCATTAGGTTCGCAACAGCTTCGTAATAAATCATTGTTACGGGTAGAATCGATGATTTAACGAAAAATGGAATAGCATGTGTACGGGCCTAATGGTTCCATGTACACGCAGAAGTTCATTTTTACAGTTTAATTTCTTGTTCTGATCTGGCTTCGAACATCTACTTTTTTTACATTCAGATAAAAAAAATTTCATATTAATTAAAGTTCAATAATCTCTTGGGAGGCCTAACGACACGCCCGTAGGGTGTCTCCACGTCGGCTTGTACATCCTCCCCGCCAATGACAAACGGTCATTGACAACTCTTTGGACTTCAAAGAGCTCCTCCTCTCTTTGAACTGCTGTATCTAATGGAAGACGTCTGTTATTTAAGACTTGTTCTCTATGCTCTTCCAACAGATGTAATTTCTGCACCGGTCTGTTGATCATTCCTTTCTTGGTTTGGACTCTGACTGTACGGATTCTTCCGTCCTTGCCAGGAAAGGTTTCTGCAACTTTTCCGATTCTCCATTTTCCTCTGGGAATTTTGTAAAATAAACTGCGTCCACCGCGATTCGGAGAGCTTGAATGACGTAATCGAGTAGTTTTGCAGTGATGTACGCCGCAAGAAGCTCCAGTCTTGGCAAAGTGACCCTTTTTACCGGTGCTACCCTGGACTTGGCCATGACTAAGTTGAAGACGCTGTTGCCATCTTCGTCTTCAGCACAAATATAGACCGCTGACCCATAAGCTCTTTCGCTGGCATCACCAAATCCATGGAGTTCAACTTTATCAACAGAAGATAAATCTCGTAGTAACCACCTCGGAACTTTGATTTGGTCCACGTTCGCCAATTCATGTTTCCAAGTCTCCCAAGACTCTGCGATGTCTGAGTCTGAGTGACTGATAGACCTCGAGTCCACAGTTTTTGAAACAGCAACTTTGGTATCATCAGAAATGGAGTCAGCAGACCCATGGGATCGAAGACCTTCGAGTAAAGGCTATAATCAAGCTTCTCTTGGTCTTAGGATCTTCTTCTGTCAGGATGCTAGAACCATTTGTAAACATCAACACGTCATATTGTGTATTCCATGAAGTACCCAGTTCCTTTAACGAGTCTGACATATTTTCAGGTTCAGTGGTCGGCACTAGAGTTGGCGCTCTTTCATGAAGAGGCGTGGTTTCCATAACCTTCTGGGAATTTGAAGCCCATTTCGTTAATTGAAATCCCCCTTTTGAAAGGAGATCGCAAAGTTCATCCTTTAATTGTAGTGCACTGTCATCGTCCGGGGCACCAGAAATTACATCGTTGACGTACATGTTCTCATTCACTTCCTTAGTAGCCGTTGGATAGTCTTTCTCGTGTTCGTTCGCGTGCTTTTGTACTGTAGCAATGGAAATAAATGGTGAAGGTGTTTCTCCAAATGTCACCCTGGTCATACAGTAAACGTCTGGCTCTCGTTCAGATTGCAAATATCTCCACAAAAATATATGACTGTTCTGATCCTGACGTCTAAGTTTGATTAGAAACATTTTCTTGATATCTGCCATGAGACCGATTTGATGGCATCTGAATCTGATTAGAACATGTCCGAGATCTGGCTGTAGCTTCGGACCTTTAAGAAGACATGAGTTGAGAGAGACACCATCAGGGGTGTTGGCACTGCTGTCGAATACGACTCGACACTTCGTAGTGGCTCTATCTTCTCGGAATACCGCATGACGAGGGATGTATCTTAACTTGTCTGCTTTGTGATCTTCTTCATCTATCGCTCGGGCATGGCCATCATCAATGTATTGTTTTACTGCTTCACAATACATTCTCGCCTTCTCTGGATTCTTTGCTAGGTTTTCTTTCGGTGGAGACAAGTCTTTGATATGCTTGCTCATAATTAGCAATAAGAGGTGGGTGATCTTTCTTCCATGGAAGACCAACTTCATATCGATCGTTATCGAAGTGACAAAAGCTGTTAAGAGTGAATGTCCCTTATAATCGAAGAAAATTGAAAAATTCGCGGACACGGTCAAAAATCGATTTGGCTCATATTTTGTCTGTGGGAAGCTTTACATACTAGACAAAACGAAATGAGGTTAGATTTTTGAAATATCCATTTTAACAGGAATAAACCGTTGAAAACCGACTGAGGGTGAAAAGCACAAGTTTCACCTTCTGCGAACTCGAAATTATGCAGTTTTCAGGCAGTTCTCATACGAACTAAAACGTAACAGCAGAACTTATCCAGCTATATATACATAGCGACTCTAGAAGAATAGTTCTATATGATTCTGGTCTTATTTGTTTGGGATCTTCTGCTATTTTAATATAAAAACTGACCAAACTCGACCTAAATTACAAATGACGCCATGTTGAAACGATTGACATCAGAATTTATCGCTTTGTAATCAAGTAATTGTTTTGGCCAAATATATCCCAATTGATGATTAGAATCAATAGAAACGTATAGATGATGTTTATAATTAGACTGACTCTAGATTTACCGAGATATATAAAATAAATTTTGACTATACATACCTTGCAAATCGCGCCATAATTACGGTGAATTACTCTAGCTCGTCAATTCCCGATTGGTCTTTTGACATACTACAGTCCGCTTCACATTCACTAGGCATAAATTATATTATTTGCATCCATATATAAGAAAAACTCTATGTTGTCTTCGTAATCAGTTTCGAATATACTGAGAAACAAACTGAGTGGAGGGCTCGATCGAGTCGAGTGACTGAAATCCGATCGAGTGACTGAAATCCGATATGCGTGATCTCAACGGCAGTAACAAACTTACTGTCACGCAACCCTTCAGTTCGGCTTTATCTCAGTTACAGTTCTTTTTCATAACGCTTGATCAACTGATAATTTCTTGCTGACTGGCAGTTAACGGGAAGACCAGGCGCACTCTTGGACAAATTCTGTCAGTCGTGCAATGAATTCCTTTTTCCATTTTTGAGCTGAAATGTCAGTAATATCCACCCCGAGGTCGATGCAAATTCTTCTTAGTATAGCAACACTTGAAGATTTTAGTTTCTTTCTTTTTACAAGTTCACAGATATTACGATCGGACGATAAAATAGGATGCTCATGGAGAGCCACATC